ATTAAGAGGAGTGTGGCCAGCAGGGCGAGGGAGGTTATCGTCCCCCTCTACTCTGCCCTGGTGAGACCCCACCTGGAGTACTGTGTCCAGTTCTGGGCTCCCCAGTTCAAGAAAGATGAGGAACTCCTAGAAAGAGTCCAGAGGAGAGCAACTAGGATGATTAAGGGACTGGAGCATCTCCCTTATAAGGAAAGGCTGAGAGAGTTGGGCTTGTTCAGCCTGAAGAAGAGAAGACTGAGAGAGGACCTCATCAATACATACAAATGTCTTAAGGATGGAAGTCAACAGGATGGAGCCAGACTCTTTGCAGTGGTGCCCAGCAACAGGACAAGGGGCAATGGGCACAAACTGAGACATAAGAGGTTTCAGTTGAATATGAGGAAAAACTTCTTTACTCTGAGGGTGACGGAGCACTGGAACAGGCTGCCCAGGGAGGGTGTGGAGTCTCCTTCTCTGGAGATATTCAAAGCCCGCCTGATGAAGTCCTGTGTAACATGCTCTAGGAGAACCTGTCAAAACAGGGGAGTTGGACTAGATGATCTCCCGAGGTCCCTTCCAACCCTTGTGATTCTGTGATTCTGTAAAACCAAAATTATCATAAACGTCCATTAACTTCAAGCTACATCGAGCACAATCTGTGAAGGTTTAATCACCGAGAAAGGCAGACAAGCCCCAAGCCAGAGGTGTGCTTGATTCAGATCCTGCTGTAACACCCAAAAAAGTGATAACTCAGGTTTTGTGGATAAGACTGGTTTTTTAATTTGTCTGCTGGGTCTAATAACTGCGGGGGAAGAGAGAGGTTGAAATTGAATTGTTTTCAGTTTCTGTCCTGTTTTTGCTACCTAACAGAAACCCAAACAGTTGGAAAACAAAGCATTTTGAATTGCTTGTTGAGACTGCTCCTCTTGTGTAAAATGGAGTGACAGCCTCTCCACATTATGGGTAGGAGGCTCATGTAAGAGACCAGAGTTCCTACTCCTGATTAACATTAACTGCAGGCACAAAGAGCCACCCTACCCCACCTATGAGTGCCAGGATATTCTGCTGTTCATAGCATGTCGATTCAAATCTGCAAGTAGAGGATGCAATTGAAACTGGAACGATCACTCTAGCTAGTCTCAAGTCTCTCTGGAAAACCCTATTTTCTTCACAGACACCTAGGTCTTAAAAACTTTTCCTCCATCAAAATTGCTTGTTTTCTGTAAGGCTTGATTGCAATTCCCCTCACATTCCAGCTGTTTACAAACTACAGTGGAATATCCTACAGTCACTCAGTCTAGAAATCCTTCAGTTCTGTGGGCATAAAACGTAAACGTAACAATTTCTGAAAAGAGTCCTAGTTTTTAATTATTTGTTTGTGGTATTTTTTCAGGGACCTCTGAGATATTGAAGCACTTCTACTGTATGGAAATGCTGGATCTAAGCCAGCAGAAAACTCTCGATGCAAGGATCACAGCATCAGTGTAGAAATCACTGCGGCATCACCTCTTTGTGAACCAAAGCCTTAACCCAACAGGGAGAATCAGCTAGGATCTTTACTGAGAATAAGAGTGGGTATTTAATGTGTGGATGTGGTGTCGTACTCAAAACAGGAAACAAATACATCTGCACTTGACCTGAAGGAGACACGAAAAAAGCCAGGATTTGGACATTTCGTAAACTCTATAGCCACTATATCCATTCTGAATTCAGATGCTCTTCACTACTTTGAACATACTAAGTAATGCATTTACATAAATCATGTTCAGTGTTAGATTGGAGTAGAAAATATATGGTACAATAAAGTAGAATTTTTTTCTTAGAATTTGGTCCTTATCTGAAAAATGGATTTTAGCTCTGTTGAGGTTCTCTTCTTCCAACTGCTTGCTGCTCTTTTAAAAATTACTTGTAAAAAGAACAAAAAGGTTTGAAAATCATCCATGTGTGCAGAAGTTTACTTGTCTGGCCTGACTTAACAATCACACAAAAGGAAGTTTTTATTAAAATTAAAGCCTCTTGGCAAAACCACAGCTGTTGCTCACAGCATTGACTTTTGCCCCAAACCGAGAATCTTCTGCGCTCATTTGTTGTCTGAAACATAGCTAACATTTAATACTGTCTTATTCTGCAGCCAGGGGTATTACAGGAGAATCCCACCTTATAGGCAGAGCTGTTTAAAAATAAATTATCTTGTTCTCACAATCTCAAAGAAACCCCTGAAAACTACAGTTGACTCAGCAGCACTCTTGCTATTTGTTTCACTATCACTTCCACCAGAAACATGCAAGTGGCATATGTGTGTACGTGCGCCACCCCACACCTATTCCTCCATACACGACTGCTGAGGAAGTGCCGACTGCCTCCTGAGAAGCTGACAGATCCCGTGCAAACACTGTCCGCCGCTGTGCGTACTCCACAGAGCGACTGCAGAGGCAGCACAAAAGTAGCTGACATTGATGCATCCTTGGATGTGGGACCCTGAGGGATAAGCTCAATTCTGCACGTTTCAAGGGGCACCGAGAAACAGCTGAGTTGTGGGGTGCCAGAAAGATTAAAAAAGAGGAAACAACTGATAAACTCTCTAAAAACTGGGCTGCTAAATCCAAAGTGTCTTTGTCTCCATACCGGTAGCAAGGAGATGCTCCCTCCACATTGAGAAATCCGAAGCATCCATGTCTGCCTCCCAGCCTGGAACGCTTCTGATGCTTGTACTCACAGCAACAGCTCAACCTGTCCACTTGTATCCCATTGAGAAAAAAGGTGAGGCTGAATGGGAAACCATGGTGCCTTTTTGAGATGAACCGAAAGGTCTCTGCAATCACAGAAAGGAAAGGGTTCAAAGAAAAAGGTTACGCTTTACTGTCAGCCTGTTGCAACTGTTGTATCTCCTCTGCATCACCACTAAAGCACCCAGCCCTCTGAGGTTCTCAGATGTATGAGTTACTTGGTAAGACTCTATCTCCTCCCCACACAACCGCCTGGTCTCTTTCCGACCCAGGAGCGCCAAGCTGGGCACACCTGTGACAAGCAAATACATCATCAGTTTGGCTGCTCATCGCTACAGCACAACAGAGAGCAGAGCCTCCCGTCTCAAAAAAACTCTGCCACTTGCGTTACAGGAGTGTACATTATGCATAGGAAGCTTAGGATTCCTGGTGTGTGCCTGCAAGGTGCAGTGCGGCAGTATGTTAGAGCTCCTGCAGCAGTATGTTAGAGCTCCTGCAGGAGTATGTTAGAGCTCCTGCAGCATAACACACACGTTCTTCAGTGCAGCATCTTGCAAAGTGCAACCAGGCTCCAGATCAGTGCAGCTGCAATATTAGCAGCTCTGCGCCTGCACCTATATGGTTGTACTCAGAGCAACACTGAGCAGCTGGAAAGGTGGTGTTTCTGGAGCCATTTCAGGCTACCCTGCAAGGGCGTTTTTCAGCATCCAGGCCTTAAGGGCACTCAGGCTGTTACCCTGCTCCATGCTGGGGGGGGAACACTGGGTTGTAGTCCCTTAACCCACAAGTCATAGTATCCTTCCAGAGCAAACTGAGCACACACCAGCAGGGAGGAAGCCACACTGTACTCCAGCAGGTTCCCTAATAGGTGTGGATGGGGCTCAGGACAAGAAGAGCACACACAAAGGACACCTTTCGCACAGCTGGGACACAGCTACAACAAACGCCCTGACCAGATCTGTGGGCGCTCTGCAGTGCGCCCACAGCCTCAGGGGACAGGCTGCAGTGCAGGGACCTCTGCATCATCTTCCCACATCCAGTGAATATGCAAACACAAACACAGCGGGTTCTGTGAGCTGGAATGAGGGATGTGATCTGTGGAATCACTCTTCCTCATAAGTGAAAATCTCCCAGACATTTCCTCTTCCCATTTTCCCAGAACTCAATTTGCCTTTTACTGGTGCGACGGAATTGCACTCAGGTAAAAGAGATGGGAATTGGGATCCCACTATGCATTTTTCCTTCTGGAATAATAAGCAACATGCACTGATGTATTATAGCAAGTCAGAAACAGATAACCCCTATTTAAGGACAGCTTACTGCTACAACTACAATTTATTAACCATACATCTCTATACAGAATTAATCTAAGCTACAGTATTTTGTCAAATCATTTTTCTAAATTCATTCTACCCTAACTTGCAAAAGCAACTGTAACCTCACTTTCAATCACGAAACAGTAGATCCAGATTTAGTGCGGAGGCAGACAGTATAAAAATCCCTCCATGCATGTATCTTGACTGAGCTCAACTGAAATAATTTTGATATCACATCAACATTTTAGCCAAAAAAAAAAAAATCTTGCCAGAACCAATACAAACTCTTTGACTCTTTAGCCTTACCTCCTTCCAATAGCTTGCCTTTGTAGACACAAAGGTTTTCTCCTCCACAATGCTGCTGATAGACTTTGATTTCATCTCTGTAATCAGTGTCATCATGAGATAAATGCACACTTTTTCCTAGAAAGACCATGGTAACAAATGCATTGCTGCGTAACGAGGGCTTAGGGAATCCTCCAGAATTCTGCAGCAGGAAACACACAAAAAAATGCATTCAGCTTCCAACTCTACCAAAAGGCGAACACAAAGATCACGTGTGTGCGGCGTACGCTTGAGGCTTCCAGTCTCTTATGACAGGCCTTGAGCTGCTTAAATTGGAATGTGTTTTGTAACATGCAGAAGGGCAGGAAAATATTTTGGACTGAAAATCCATTGCATTGAATTGTCCAAAACTGCAGGGACCAGGTTTAATGACCCATATGGCCCCTCCCAGTCTTGGGTTCCTACAATTTCCTTTACACAAATCAAAACTGGCTGGAGCTATAGTGTAACAGATGAAGTTTTCATACGCTCAAGGCATTTCATATATCCCTCTGAAGGTCTGTACTAGATGTGTCCAGAGACAGAATCAGATTGACTAAGATGGAAGGCTTTCAATATTTTGCTATATTTTTTCTGTTTAAGCACCTTTCCCCCCCCCAACTGATGAAAAACATCAAATATTTTAGTATATAGAGAGATGGGTGGCAGTTATATATTTTAATAAATTTTCTTTATTAAAAAAATTCAGTGAATGTTTATGCAAACTAGGTATACACACATGTATAAACTGAGAAGTAGACCAAGATAACTTACCTTTGGTAAAAGCTGCTCTAAGCCATTTGGTGCGGTGGTGGGGCGAAATCGTCTGCCTCTGGGCACCCCATTTCTCACTGCATTTACGCTCTTGTCTCCTTTTTGCGGGGGGGCAGGTGGCACTGGTATCGCGTAACTGTTAATGACGGGGAGCTGATACGGGGATATACCAGTCGCATATTCCATCGAATTCATAAGTCTTACCCCACTCCTCTCCCCCTGCAAAAACATTTTAACCAGGTTTAAATAGATTATGCAAAAATAGCTACCAAGCATATTGAACTAACCGTGGTTTGACTGCTCTTTATGTTTATTAACCCACATACTTCTAGAACAATTCCTTAACCTGGTGCTTGCAATTTTGTTCATGAAAACGTTTCTGTGCTAAAACCCTTTCTTTTAATTTGCAAAGCAACAGGCAGATTGCTTGAAAACATCACCCTCATAGATATATACAACGTTGTAAACCATGTACTACTTGTAACCATGCAGAGTTCTGATCACAAGCAGACAGAATGCTGCACAATCCCACAGCACTGATGTGCTCTCTCAGATGGCAAGCAAATTCCAAAGCAGCCAGAATCTTCCAACAGTAACATCATTTGGCATCAGTTATACAAGATGTGGTTCAAAACGATTCTTTGCCATTTGTAGTGGAGGTTTCGTCCTCTTTCAGGATGAAATGCAAACAGAGAACCAGGGCCCTGAAAAGCAAGGCATCTCTAGAGAATAAATTCTGCAAACATTTCATGTTCTGGATCCGATTTAGCTGTTTTGTCAGTAGCGAGCATTAAAGAAACCATTTAAATCACCCATAATTCGAAGAGACATAGATAGTGCCAGCAAATTCTTGAAGAAAGGATCGTGACCATCACAATACAGAGCAAATGCATAGCAGAAGGGGTAAATTCATACAGTGCCTGCCAGTCAAGGGTAGCAGGTCACAGTCCCATTCCAAAATCCTCCAGTCCTTTGGAACTCCTAACACAAAGCCAATTATGCAACATTTTTCCAGAACACAACACAAGTCCAAAACTCACCTGAAAGTAACTGCATACATATCAAGATCATGTCTGGCTACTGCAGAAAGCTGTCACTCTCTGAATCCACTAGTGTGACTTAGTAGGACGAATGGTAAAAAAAAGAAATTTGTTTTTTGCTACTTTGCAGCTGTAGATGAAGATGAAAACTCATAAAACTATGTGAAAATATTCCTGAGTTATTGGTGTAACCAAGTAGCTACCTCCCTCTCTACATAACAGAAAATCTATATAGAGGCAGAAAATTTTGCATGCAGAGAGATTTTATACTATGAAGAAGAAGTCATCACGTTTTTCCTGGCTGTGATCAAGAATTGGGCATTAGACCAATAAGAAAATGTCTTGAAAATTAAGGGGAGGTTAAAAAGGAGAGTTTAAATAAAAGCTGATAACCATTTGGTCGGCATGTTGCCTGAAGTACACAGTTATGGGAAATACAGTAGTAAAGCAGTATTATAAAGCTGACTTTAAAATTATGTTATTTTCACAATGAAACATGGCCTTACCCCACTGGCAAACTGCTCATCATTTTCAGGTGCGCGGCACTTCTGTTTAGAGGTTGAAGTCTTTGGTACAGACCCTACTGCAGCACAGCTGTGAACTGGTGGAAGGTGAAGCGGGTGTTGCATATTTCCTGGAGCTGTATTTGGTCGCCAGGAAGTCTAGAAAAAGAAAAAGCAAACAGCTACAAAATCTCAGTGTATAGTTTCCAGTGCAGAGCAGCATCGTGAAGAAAAAAAATAGCAGGGATCAAGATATTTGGAAGTGATGAGTGATCCTCCGGTACCTTCAGGAAACGGAATTTTCGAGTCTGCCTCTGAAGAGGCAGGCTCCTTTAGGCATCTCTAATTGAGCATCCAAAAACTGGAGCATCCGAAATAACTCTTGGGCATAAATGTAGGGTTTGCTGCTGTCTCTTCACAGAGCAGCCTTGAAGCAAACATAATGAACTCATCGAAACTGTAGCAGTGTGCTGTGTTTTGGCGACTTCAGCACATGGACACTGAGAGAATGCAGAACAAAAGCATGCCTATTTTTGTTCCATACTCAGCATTTTTCTGCCTTTTTAATTATTTCATCTTTTCCTTGTATACCCTTCCGAATACCACATTAATATGTTGAAACCTAAAAAAAAATGTTTAACTGAGTTAACTCACCATCTTAGAAAAGGCAGGCTCCTTGGATCGGTGTTGATGAGGAGGATGCCCACCACTATAATCAACTACAGGTCCAGGTACCCTCTGCATGGGATGGAGAGGAAGAGGTCACCCAGGACTGAAAGTCTCTTCAATCTGCACCAATTATCATTATTGAAATGGAGAACCAGTTAAAACTGGACTATATATTTGACCTTTGACTTTAGTATCTTTATATTTCAAGAGTATATTAACATTCCTTCTCTGCCTGTTAACAGATAGTAAGATGCTTCTGAGCCAGAGCTCCAAAGCACAGCCTTCTGGAAAGAGCTTTAGCCTTACTGCACCCCTTCAGCTCTGTTTTCTAAAAGACCTCCACTGCTTACAGGATTTTACAACATCTGTAAACTTGCCACAGTATTCACTAACAATACTTAATGTACTGATACTGGCCTAACCCTGGGTGATAAGGCAGACAAAAGGGAAAGATTAAAGCAGACTTATCACAAGCAAAGCTATTTTTTTCTAAGTTCTGATGTGCCATTCCTGCAACATCAGCTTCTTGAGATTTCTCTTTAATCACCCTATCCTGCAAACGGGAAATCAGCCTCAAGTGATGAAGGATGAGGCCCTAATCTGAACAATCAGGGCAGTCAACGCTCTAGACTAAGCACAGATGTCATAGGTATATGTGCACGCTTTCAGCTGCGTGTGCTTCCATGATACCATATGGAGCATTTGGTAAAACTCACCAGTTGCAAGTGACCAGCTGGTTCTCCAGCCACTAAAGGATGGAGCCCATAATGACCTCTTGGACCAAGTGGTGGATGTGGGGAGCGCAGAGGGCTAGCACCTTCCACTGATCTTCTGGATTGTTTCACCTAAAAGAAGAGACATTTGCATCTTTCAGGTACTAAATACTCTTAACAGCAATGTTTGAGCTCGCCTTCCTTCTGTCTTTCATTGGACAGCTATGATGATCTCGACCTGATGGAACACCTGGTTAAGGAAGGAAAGGATATCAAGGGGAGAATGAGAGAGGGACAAGGAAAAAGACTTGTTCCCATCTCTTTTTCATTTCCCTGCAGCCTTCTCCAGCTGCAGATCCTCCCAAATTCATCTGCCTGTTTCTGTGTATCTCCCAATTCTTGGTTTGGTTGAAAGGCTCCTTTTTTAAATCTGAGTGCATCTGCCACTTCTTTGCTCTGACTGCTGCCCCTCCCTACCTTTTCTTTTCAAAAGCTCCATGCTGGGCTGACTACTCTTCTGGAAAGAGATAGCTGTGTTTCTCATCCTCCCTTGCCCAGCCACCTGTGTTTCTCCTTTCCTTTTAGATTAGTTACTCAGCCAAATTCACTGAATGTATGAGGTGAGAATTAAATTACACTGCTAATTCCAGCCAGGTTCCTGTGTCCCGGTGTGGCATCACAGCAAAGATACAGATCACATATCTACAGGTGTCTCCCTTACGCTTCTCACTGAAGGAAGTAGTTTTGGTTTATGTTCCAAAATTATCTGAGTCCAGAATCCCTTGACAGGGTGTCTTAGTCGCTGCTTCCACTGTGGCGACTTTCTAACAGCAGGAGTTCAGTCAGTAAATCATGCCCTGGCAATTGTCATAGTGATCAGTGTTTTTCAAGAAAATCTCCTCCTTTCTTTTCATGATGAATTGCTCGTAAATGTCTTATTTAAAATTAAAAAGATTTTACATTGTTCTTCAACTGCTCAAAGAAGCAGCTAGCTTCTCAATGCATTCTTCTCGATGTATGCAGGCTAATAAAGAAATAAGATGTCGAGTATATTTCAGTCAAGGGACTTCATGGGGAGAAGAACCATTGACTTCTGGTGGGATTTCCATTACTCTAACAACTACAGGATCAAGCTCTACCTACATGACACCAAGGTGAAGACTTCTGAAACCTCTTTTCATTACTTACATGCTGATTCTGCAGCATGTGGAGAGGCAAACGACTGAAAATGTGAGCTCAGTGCTCAGCAGCAGTCAAAAGCAGATAGTGTCTAGAATTACAAGGAGAAGAACTGCGACAAGTATCTTAAATTATTAATCCAGTTCTAGTTCCCCATTTCAAAACAGAAATAGTACCACTGGAAAAGGTAAAAAAAATGGCAACAGTAATGAGAAACCTGGAATGGCTCATGTATGAAAGATTCAATAGACTGAGGGTCTTCAGCTTGGAAAACTGAGAAAGAATAAGAAAAAGGTGTGTAAAACCACCAATGCTGTGGAAAAGGGGAACAGTTATTAACTTTTCTCATAACAAGAACAATGGAGCATCAAACATCATTATCAGACAGCAGATACATTAATTATTGTGCCGAAATGCAAGGAAGTACCATTTCATACACCTCATAATTAAATTCCACAACCAAGAACACTGCAGAACCAAAATAATAACCAGATTCAAAAGGAACCATGTGCACAAATGGAAGTTCCTGAACTGCTGGATAGAGGAAGAAGGCAATGTAACCTGGGGCAGGGTCATCCTCTACTTGCCTGTTTCTTGTACTTTTTCCATAAACATCAGAGACAGGACACTTGGCTCAATGAATCTCTGGCCTGACTCATGGCTGTTATTTAACACGGGGCAAAACTGCCATGTCCCATCAGTACTCGGTAGCACTCAAGCCTTACCTTGATTTTCTCCACCCTCTCCTTCTTCACAGAATTTTCAAGTTTCCTTTTTATTTCCAGCTGATGATGACGCTATCAATGTAAGAGAAAGAGAAATCTCATTAATGGACATTATGAGATATCAATGAATGTAAGAACACACTTGCTTCTGTTCTGCTTGTCACTTACCTGCTCCCTTGTCATTACCCTCACGGAGCCCTATGATGAAGCTACTATTGATTCAATCCATTTGCATTACACCTGTGAATATTAACATTGGCAGGGGAACAACTGTGCATTTGTAAAGTTGTAGGGACTAATTCCATTCTTGATACGTAATAGGAACATGCCCAGATTTTGTACTCAAATAAGATATATAACCATGTTCAAACTATTTGGTTTTGATTAGAATTTTTGAAGCAAACTAGCCCTGTGAATGTCATCCCATAATCCAATGACTGCCAAAGTGCAGTAAGTGATCCAGAACAGTGTATGTTCTAACGATGGTATGGTTTAACAACCAGAAGCCAGTGGAGGTTTCATGTGGGGGATGTCAAGCACAAAGGTTGTCCTTTTTCCCAGCAGGAGAGAGCCTTTCAGGGGACCATGAGGGCACAGCTAGGTACAAGTTACCAGCCACTGGCCATCAGCAGGGAGGTATCTGAAAAGGCTTATGCATCACTAGTAAATGCCTACCTCCATGTCAAGGACCTTATGAAATATGGCCCGAGCCAGACACTCCTGTACATATCTTTGATGATCCCTCCTCAGGGCATTTAGCCGATATTCTTTATCAGATATTATTCTTCCACTCCTTGAGATCTGCCATAAACAAATAGAATGTAACTAAAAAGAAGAGAAGAAGACAGAATAAAGCACGCTTTTAAACAGAGTGCAATTTCTCAGAAAGACTACTTTCTCTTACCGGTTAGCTACCACCTCTGCTTCTGCCATGGTGCTGGAACTCACCTTCCCAGCACAGAATTGGAGTTTCTTTGACCCCATGGACCCCATCAGCAAAATGAAGAGAGCAGGAGAGCAGCAGTCACATTTTTTAACAGTTGAGGGCTCAGCCTTATTCTTCATGAGCCACTGCCCAAGTCAGTGGGGGGGAATGAAATACTTGGCTTCCTACTGTGTAAGGGTTGCATCTGCCTGTGCTAAACAGTCGCACCTAGGAGTGCGTAAGTATTTTTAAAAACATTCAGCACATTCACCTTTACCAAATCCTTCAGTTTTCCATTAAACACTTTTGAAAAATAACACTGAAACTACTTAAACAGCTAGTAGAGTCAAAGATGCTTAGATTTCAGTTTAAAAAACCCTAAAAGAATCAATATGATTCTGTATATTTGCAAACTGAAAGATTTTGCAGAGGCAAATTCCAATGAGCAAAAAGAAATATGGAGCAAAAACATGAAAGCATTTTGAATTTATCAAAACCTCTCCATGAAATACCTTCTTCTGCCTGGATGTGAAATACAAGCAGATTGATGAACATTCTCACATCAGTGTAATTGTGCAGTTATACGTAACAACTTACTGAAACTGCATTACTGAGCAGAAGCTCAGGGGTAAGCCAAGGCTCTCCAGTATTTGCATATATCATCAATCCATGTCAGCCACTGTTCCCAGTTTCACACAGATACACATTATGACTGTTGCATTACAGAAGGTGCAGTGGTAGCGTAAGTTTGGTATTCTATGGAGTATGGCCCCCACATCGACTGGTAGCACATCACTTCTAGTGTGGAATCATCATCTACCAGCAGCCCCCATGCTAGCATCTTCAGAGCCCCAGGTGGCCCCTGGACCTTGACGTCCTGAAACGTGCTCAATGCCAGCTACAGTATTTTCTCAGCTGTCCTTAGCGTCTTCAAAACCACTTAGCACATAGAGCTAAACTCCAAGCTCAGTTTTCCTTGTCTTTCTGTCATTCTGATTTCAGTAGCGCAGCTTTACACACCACAGCCCTATGCCCCGGCCATATCTCACTGACCAACAGTAGATAATAATGCAGTGGGACGTGCTTGGACTAAACGAACCTGCCCTCAGCCTCAGTGCAATTGTGTGGCTTTGATCTGGCACAGCATAATTTCACGTGTTTGGCTAGCTGGTCGAATTCTTACCAAGGACAACGCATACCTCTAACAAATAAACAACAGAACCATCAGTGGTTTGACTTGTGCAATACTAAAAGAAACAAAGAATTCTCTTCTATTTTTTTCTCAGTAAAAGAAACTTTTCAATCTTACCAGTCCTGATCTCTGGAGATGTCGTCTTCTCCTGGTATTGCTGAAATATCCAACCAGGTGTTTGTCCGTAAGGCTATTGTAGGTTGCAAGAAATCTGAAATAAAATCAATACAGATGCATATAATCCACTTGACGACCAAATTGTTACAGCTTAAGTTATAAAGACTTACCCAATAGCTTGCTGCACAAACTGCTGTCTTGGTGAATCATGCCCAGCATTTTGTCAGATAAATGCCCATTAGATTACGTAAAAGCAACATCTTATTGCCTCCGGAAGATTTGTATCAGAAACAAGTGATTTCTACATAAGATAACAGCAGCTCAGCATGGAACTGTGTACCGCCACCAAGGCACAGGGTCCAACAGAGCCCAGCCCTGAAAGTCTCCTCCAAGACCAACTCCCGCAACAGCCACCTCAGATAATGCACTCGGACCTTCGGCAGGTCAGTATCACACCATGCAACATCTGGACCTGGATTCCTGGCTGAGTCTGGCAGGCACAGACCCCAGCTCCCTCACCGCCCCACCATGGGCCCTGTGGAAGTGCATGAGTAAACAGTACATCACCAGCGAGACGTCCCAAAACTCCTGCCCCACTGCACACCATCTACCGCCCCACCATGCACCCTGTGCTGCCCCTCCTTCTGCCACCTCCTAACTGGTGATAGATACGGCAGCAACGGAGTTTCTGGCAGCTTTTGCAAAGACCTGGAAGAATAACTTGGGCTGGGAGGGACCTCCAGAGGTCATCTAGTCCAACCTCTGGCTCCAGGCATATCACTTATCAGCCTTTACCTACACAAAGGGATTTTCCTGTGGCCTTCAGTGCCAGCTCTCAGACATTATGGTCTGGTATCTAACACAAAAAAATTCCTTTCTTCAGTCTACTTAGGTCAGCAGAAACTGCTAGCACCAAAACATATTTTCAAGACAGGACACTGTTTCCATAGTATTTTCACTGGCTTGAAAGTTAGCACACACGTTATTAACTTGGGTGCAAATCTTTGCTCTGATTAAGACTACCTATTTGTGGTTTTCAGCTAAAGCCTCCTTCAGTATCCACATTTCCATGGCGATTTCCTCCTCTTTAATGTTTCCAGCACTAGAGGGATTGCATATCAAATTCATCACTTGGAATACCTATGCAGAAAATGAAGTGGCTTCAATTTCAGGTGTCAAAAAAGACGCTTAAGACGTCCATCCTGTTTTGAACCATTTGGAATTTGGAATAATGTGTCTGTTAAAATGTTGCCTGGCCAACCACTAATTTGTTCATGAACAAAAAAGTGGGTTTCAAAAAACGGTTCTCCATTTGGCCTTTACACCAACAGAACTCGCAAACTACTCGGGAAAAGCAATCCATGACAGCAAGAATAGGAACTGCCCTGTCTATTTCAGGAACCATTTATTTCAACATAACAGTGACTCTAGAATATTATTTACATAAACAGCCAAGAATGCTTATCCTGCAAACCTATTCGTAAATTCAATCGCACAAAACTTGTACAGGGCAAGATTCATAACTTCTGTGGTATTTACAGGCTAGAAAGCATATGTTACTGTAGCATGTGTTTGCCGGTTGTCACCATATGGCAGCAGTTTGTCTGAAGTGCAACTTGCACTGATGAGAATACTTCTTTTTTTTTTCCCTCTCTAAACACAGCAACTACATTTTACCAAAAAATCATCAGATCTATTCTATGTGACTGATTTGCTCAAGCTAAACAAAAAACAAATGTACTCTGCAGAAAACCAAAGAGTTTGCAGAAAAGGCCAGCAGGCACTCATCTGTCTGCACGAAGCCTGACACGCTATTGCTCTGGCACTCAGCAAGCTGCCACCTCTTCACCACCTCGGTCTTTCTGTGGAGAGTAGGCCTTGTGCTGGAAGGTCAGGAACAAGTCCTTATCCAAACTAGGGCATCAGAAGACAGCTGAGTGGTAAGAGACAGCACCGCTCTCTCAAGAACCCTGCCCCTCCTGCGTTAAAAAGCACGGACACTGGACAACTCATCGCTCAGTTCAGTATCAGCCTACGCAGGTCAAAGCTAAAGACCTGGATCTCTTTGGCCACACCGCGCTCTCAAGATTTTAAAGAGACCAACCAGCTGGTCCTACGATGGCTCTCGAGTGCCATTCAGTCTAAAAGGCTCCTGGGGCTACGCTGCTGCAGTCACCAGAACGGTTGGGCTACCCTGCCTTCTGCTAATCTTTTTCCATTTAAAGACCCCTGACTTAGGGGTGCAGAAGTCCTCTTCTGTATCCAGAGCAACAAAAATGGGCCCAATATGAAATGCAAGAACTGCTCAAGCTATTTTCCAGTTCCTAAGTCAATATACTAAAGATTCTCTTTTATTGGATAATCCAAAGTGAACAAATTGCATCTCTCTTCTATTTATTGGTAAAAAAACTGTAAGACCAACAAACATGGAGAACCAGACCACGCAGACGGTTGGAGCGAGGCCCTCCCCTGCTCTACCCAAGAAAAGTCGTGCATGTCTGGAAAACCAACAGAGCTAAACCATGGCAGCTACCAAAGATCAGGCCTTCCAAAAATTGAACCTAGTATATGAGAGTTCAACACAAAACCTGAAGCATCCATAATTAGCAGACATATTTTTAAATAGTTCTTAGCACAACCTTATCTTACTTCACCCTCTGCAAAACAGGACAAAAAACAAAGTAAGTGACAGTAGGCTTAAGTTTTTAATACTCTAAATCCATTCACATCTGTAAAATGTATACTCTGAGATACATATTGCATAATATGTTCAACCTGACCTTTGGGGTCTCTGGGCAGGGTATGATTTAATTACATGACAAGAGATTGATCTCTTTTGTTTCCTTTGGCTTTAAATTTAAATGCCACTGTACCCCTATTACATATCTTTCAATGGGATAATTCAAGATAAATATCTATTGCTAGGCTGAGTTACCACGCGCATAAGTATACTCAAGGAAAGAAAGAACAACTAAAAAAAAAAAAAGAAAGCAAAAAACCACAAAGAGATCATGGATTTACAGGAATTTTATCTGGGGTTTCACAATAACCTCACAGGTAGCCTACCAATGATAAACTAAACTTTAAACAAACGATTTAGCTTACCCTATTACGCATGTTGATTAAACACTGGTACTATAGCAACTGTTCTACATTACTTTTTTAATCCACTGTTTGCATTTGAAACCACCAGATTACATCAGTTGTGCTAAGTACCAACTTATGGTATCACCTGGCAATTGCATACAGAAGCAGAGGAGAAACTCAATCCAATTCCTTTTCATTTGCTTCCTTCCATCTAATATTTCATGGACCATATAACTAGTTAAAATGCAACTCCCATCTGAGCATGGTGATGCAGCAACTTTAGTTTCAAAGAAGTCTCTGTACACGTATTTTTCTCATTTAATTTATAAAGAGGCTGAATTAAATTCAAAGTTCAAAACGGTACTGAAGGAAATTGGGAAATGTTTGGGGCCTGAACCAAAACCCATTAAACCATTGGGAAAAGTGTAACTGGATCCACTGGGCTTTGGCGGAGCCACACTGCCAAGAGATGCCAGAGCTCTCTGCCCAGGTGAATGCCGCTGTTGTCCAGAGAACCAGCACAGGCAGAGCCACACAGAGTACTCCGGCCACTGACTCGAACTCAGATTTAAATCATGTGCAATAAGCAGGGGCTGGCCCTGCAAGGCTGTGCTCACCTGGAGCTTCTACCAGTTCTCCCGCTTATTTCAGCGGACCAGTTCACCCTCCCCCAGTAGATTTTAGGCAAGTTTAGTTGGGAGCAGGCCATATTGGCACTACGCTTGGGCTTGGCCCAAACCCCTCTGGAGTATCCCATCGACACCACAGGATCAGCCCCATTTGGTGCTCCAGCGGATGGGGTGCAGGCATACTTTCCAGTCTAAGGGCAGCCAGGGTGAGACCTCATCCTCTGAATGGAATCTGTGCCGTGCACTCAAAAGCACGCAACTTATTGTCAAGCCTAAGCTTTGGATGAGACTTGTGCTCCCTTGCGCCAACAGATGACTATGGCACAGACGTGTGCAGTGTTGGGTGAAGGGCACCAGCAGCCCCCTCTCATGTTCCCCCCATTCAGCAGCCCAAGTGTTATTGCCTTTTGGTCTTTGCTGACTCGCGGATCGTGCCTGGAGATAAAATTCAGAATGCTGCTTACAAACGACAAGGGTGAAGCAGACAGGAAGATCATTCAGAAGGATGGAGTCACAGAACTGCTGTAAGACAGTGTTATGTTAATGGTTGGACTTGATGATCTTAAAGGTCTTTTCCAACCTAAATGATTCTATGATTCTGTAAGACAGATTTGGGTTCATTATTTGCTTCACAGAGTAACGCAACCTCTAACTGCTGGGGCATTTCCCTACCAGCAAGTTATCTGAGAAATGTTGTGAATTACCTAACCTGAGGACTGTCAGAAACAAGCTCTTCAGCAAAGCAGACCACTGGTCTCGTTCATTCCCCTGCTCCTAGAAGTTCATGCCTGAAAAGTTTTCTTCCAGAGACTTAAATATTTAAGAGCTATATACAAAATGTCACCTCTAAATCCTCTACAACAGACACAAGTGCAGAATTGACCAAAATGCATGTTATAAAAACATACAGCAAAGGAAAAGCACCAGTCCTGAACAGTATTGTACAAAATGCTCATTACAGTCATATGACAGTAAGTCCAGAAAGTCCATTTTTCTGGATATTTCTGGGACTCTTTTTTCTCTGCCTGTTTATCCTGTTTATTCTCTACAAATTCTTGCGTTTTATTAGACTTTATTAGACAATTTTCCTGGCACAGAAGCTAGACTGACTGCTCTGTAGTTTCTGGGACAAGTTTTGAAGCTCTTATCAAAATTAATATCAAATTTGTTTCTTTGGTATCACAGCCAGTGGCTACATATCACTGTTAGCGCAGTAATTTCATACTTAAGGTTACTTAGAATGCTTGGATGTACATGGTTTGTTCCTGATTTTTTTAAAATTAATTTGCTCAAAATCCTCCCTCGCTTGCATCTAAATTTCACCTGAGTTCCCCAAATTCACACCCAGTCAAGATTTAAGTGAAGCAACCTCCTCAAATTCTTCAACAGTGATGTTCCAGACAGAGGACTTTAACTACACAGTCACTGAGAAACAGTGGCATCCTATTTGGACGTCCAGGTTTTTTTTTTCCATAAATGTTCTTTACCTTGCTTACTATCGGAGATGTGAATACACTTTGCATCATACTAGAGATTACATTTTTCAAATTTCTAAAAGCAAAAAGTCAACCATCAAAAAATCTCTCTGCTTCTCACCTGAGTGGATTTTTAAAGTGAAGGACCATATACAGTAGGAAAAAGGAGAATTCCCTAATGTACCTTTTATTAACGGGACAGTTCTACTGAAACAGAGCAAACCTCTGGAGCTCAGTTAACGTGGATCTGCCAAGGTGGGGAAGAGGTGCCAAGGAGCTCTCCCATCATGTGAAGCCAGCCATAATCCTCATCCATGAAGTCATCTGAATGCAAAGACTTTCTGGACCACCAGAAGAGCAGGAAACAAAGCCAGGTAACTTCCTTCCCCAGGGCACACCATCTATCAAAGGCTATCATGTGTGTGGAGTACATGCTCTCTATGGATCCTCTGGAGAAACTCCGTGCCTGAAAGAAGCACCTCGACTCCTGGAGCAGCCCTGGGACCTGGAAGGCAGATGTATCCCATTCCCAGGTCTGGCTGTGCCTCGCAGGGGCAGCTAGGCCTGCTGTCATTTGAGCCAGGCAGCCGTCCGGGTGCCTACCACTCACGCTTCAGTATCACCCACACTCCTAGGGTAACACCTTAACTGCCCAGTCAGAAAAATAAATTGCTGTCACTGGAGCCAACTCTTCCTTTTTCCCCATTAACAAAAGTAATAAATAAATAAAGGCAAGTACAAACACCCAAATTAACAGGCAGAACGCAGCCACAGAAACCAAAAGACCCACAATTTATTTTGCTTTAAAAAAAATGTATGGAGGGCCAAAGCAAAACACACCTCAGTCCAAAATGCACAGGAAGAATTAGGTCTGCAGGTGCGGGGAGTCCAGCTGTGCAGATGACAGAGCACGCAAAACACAAGACATACCAGAGCTGATGACTAGGATTTTAATAAGCAAAGGAAGTGTCCAGTTGTTGGAACTCTGTATTCTGCAGGATTGCCATTGCATTATCACTGCCACTATTCTATATTAACAGTATCTGGTTGTTACCAGCTTGCAGTGCACAATGCGCTATAAGCAGAGCCAGTGCTGTGTATCACAACGACTTTTAAGGTCGTTAAGACTGTTCTTACTCATCTGAAAGGGTATCGGGGCAAAGTCACAGTAGGTGTCCTACATTAGTTTCGTAAAGCAAATCTTCACAGTTAATAATTTACAGTGCAATCAAATCAGTGACTGCCCACCAAAGAAATCATCTAAGAGAGCACCAGAGCTTTAGTTATTGATTGGTAGAGTCACAGGGCCTTATAGCCCCGCTGTTGTATGTTACAGCTGGGGTTTATTGCCACTCCAGTCAAACAAACAGTCCTGCCCCTGACGGAGACCGTTCCTCAGCCTAACGAGCTAAGGGATCATCTTGCACTGTTTCTGCTGGGGGCATAAACAAGAAGGACTTGTTTAGCTTTCGAACAGAATGGATTTAACCACAGGCTGTCAACCCCAAACAGCAAGTTCAACATCCCACAAGGCAGGGGCACCTGCCCAGCATGTTTCGTTTGGGAGAAAACACTACTCTTAGGAGACCTTCCAGATACCCGGCCGCTGTCTGCCATTCCCTCCGTAAGAAAACTCTTCAGCCACGATGAATTATATCCCACTTCCAGAAATATCACTGTCGGGGTCTCCAGAGAGGTAAGCAAAGTGGTTTTCTGCAGAACTGGAATTCGGCTTAAATCCTGAAAGTAAGGACTTCGTGAATCCTAGCTGGGAATGGCGTAACGGGCACATGCAAAGACAGTGCAATTCCATCACAGAGAATGGGATTTTGCCACCTACCCACCAGGTATTCAGAAGATAACTGCTGCCCTTATGATGCTATTCAGCATAAATGATTATTTTGTTTGATGCCTCCAAGCTTAAGCCAAGTGACTATGGCCAGTGACTACACTGCACTTGGGCTCCTCTCTCTCTGAGAAAGAGGGCTATCTATTTAGAAGATGACAAGCCACGAAAACAATCCCCAGTCTCCACAAAAGGAGGCTCTCGCTTTGTCAGGAGCCAGGGCTGTCACACTTGTGAACTGACTCTTCCGACTACGGGCCTCCAACCATGGCCCTCCTCCAACAGCAGGAAGCTGCTGCCATGCAGCTGGGTCACTGACCGACCCCCGGCTGCACCCCCTCTGGACTTCACCTCGAGGTACAGCTCTGGCTTCCACGTTTATTGATTTCAACTGCTACTGCTGTGCATGAGAAACCATGCTGCAACACAACTACTGAACCAAAACTCACTGAAGTCAGCAGATGACTTGAAGATTTGACAGGGCTTTGGATTCTGACAATAATTAATTGGTTTATTCTAAGCCCACAAAACCCTTCAGCACATGTACAGTTTTACTCAGGTGGTAACCAAGGAAGGGAGAGGCCACCGTCTCTCCAAATCACATTCTATCTCTGCTTAAACCTTGCAGGACCCCTTCAGCCCTGGCCATCTGACCTCAATGAGACCACCAGTCATCTTGCTCCACGGACACACAGGTCGCACCCACCCAGGTTTTTTCTTCAAAAGTTTCACGCTGTCTTCTTTACTCTTCATCTAACCTGAACTGTTTAACTGCCAAACCACTGAGGATTCTTTGCCCAGATACGCAGTGAGAATTATTTTATTAATACTTTGCCCCAGGGGATGATCACCGAGCTCAAAGACATCTGTAGATCTTGTGAACAGATAGAAATGCCCTTGCTCTGCCTGTACCCAAAGGAAGCCTGGGCAGCAAAGACAGCCAACAGCACCCTGGGCTGAACTAAGAGGACCACAGCCAGTAGAAGGAGAGAAGCAATCGTCCCCTTTCCTTGGCACTCATTTAGACCTCATGTACACCGCTGTATCCATCCAGTTCAGGGAAGCCATGGATGCACTGAAGCGAGTTCAGGAGAGGCCACCAGGATGGTGGAACTGGAGCACATGCTCTGAGAGGAGAGGCTGAAGGAGGCAGGGGCAGCTCCAGGGTCCCATAGCAGCCTGCCAGAGCCTGGGGATATGTGGAGAAGACAGAGCCAGAGGAGGGACAACAGATACCAGTTGAAAGAAGAGGGGCTGAGATGGGTCTAATGAAAACATTTTTCCTCATGAGGAGGGCCAGGCAGTGGAGGAGGTGCCCAGGGGGCTGTGCTGTTCCCACCCTCAGAGGTTTTAGGGATCAGTCTGGATGAAGTAGCCTGGCCTGATCTCATAGCTGACCCTATGAGCAGGAGACTGGACTAAAGACCACCTGCAGTCTCTTCCAGAGTGAATTATTTTATGATCCTACAACTCACTTGGCTGCTGTACTAGGCTAGCATTGTTTGACGGTTGCCAGAAGGGAAATGGGTTACATCCAGTCTGTGAGGAGCAGAGGCAAACCTCACATGCATTGACTTTTCCCCATCCACTTCAGCAAGCTCTTTTTAAGTCACAGCTCTTTAGTTTTCAGTGTTTTCCATGTCAGATGCAGACTGGAGGTATTCCTCGAGACACTGGGAAGTGGATGCCATCAGGCATAGCATAATTGTTTCCCAAAAACTGAATTAACAAACGTCATCCAGAGTCCAAAAGTGCCTAA